CGCCAATATAAAATCCCTTTTTTTATATTTTTTAAATATAAATCAATTAATATTCAATCCTTGTGCACATCGAAGAATAAAAATACAAAATGTGTGTTTCTTTGCACTACCAACGATACGAATTGGCCTAATGTCTTTATATTCATTTTCTACAAATGCTATAGTAAATTTAACAACAAAACTTTATAATCAACAAAATTAAGTAAGTTTTAATTTATCAACATAAACACATAATATACACAGAATAAAGGAAATAAGTTGGATCAAATAAACTAAAATCACTTTTTATCGATCTCAAGTCACAATTTGCCATTATCACGACGTTTTGGTGCTGCAGAACAGAATATTAAATCGTTTGGACTGACAAATGTTTAACCTTTAGACATTTCGTAGTAAAAAAGTGGGAAAAAAGGCACACACATACTGAATTATTGAGTTAGTCTGGATGAGATAGTTAAATAGTTAGATAGAATGATAAGTGAACAACTACAGATAGATAGTCAAATATATTAATAAATAGATAGATAGTAAGACAGGTAGATCTATAGACAGATAGATAGATAGAGGGAGAGAGAGAGAGAGAGAGAGAGAGAGAGAGAGAGAGAGAGAGAGAGAGAGAGAGACGGACAGATAGAGCTAGGTAGAAAGCTAGAAATAGACATGCAGATATATACATATATATATAATAGACTGGCAGATGAATAGGTAGATAGAATCTCATGTCGCATTTCATGTAATACCAAGTTTAATGAGGAATTTGGAATATACTCAATTTTAATCGTTTAAATCCAACATTCTGTTTACTATTTGTGCATCTGAATATTGTATTTGTAATATTTGTATTTTATATATTTCCTCAGATGGATAGAAGATAGATATTCAGGCAGATAGATAGACAGACACAAAAGTAGATATATCTATATACATATATATAGATAAACAGACCGACAAAAAATAAATAGATTGATAGATAGACAGATGGATTAATAGATAGAGAGAGAGACACAGCCAGATAGGGATGTAGGTAGAAAGCTAGATAGATGGATAGAGAGATGAACAGGCAGATAGGTTGATAAATAGATATTCATACAGATGTATATATAGATAAATTGACACACAGACAGATTGTTAGATAGACAGACAAATGATACATAGATATATAGACAGACAAATGATGCATAGATAGATAGACAGATAGATAGATGAAAAGATATGTAGATAGATTGATAGATCGACAGATTTGTAGGCATACAATTATCTGTAAATCTATCTATGTATCTACATATATAATAAAGTATGTGTTTAGAATACTTTACTGGTTGTATCATCAGCATATTTTCAGTGTTAATTGAATACAATTTTACTGAAACAATTGCATCTAGCTGTTGCTTGTACAAAGTTTTTTGAAAAAGTCTGTTTGTGCAAAACTAGTTGCGTTAAATAGTTGCATTATTTTTTTTAATGTTGTTTCGTAATGTTAATAAATAAGGAAAGCTAAAACGAAAACAGGCCAAAGGGACGGGATAGCTTCCAAAAGGACAGGTTTTGGCAAGCGGTTCCCTTATCCGACTGAATAATCGACCTCCTCCGCCGTCGCCCCCTCCCCGGGGGTCGTCCCTGATTTTGTTGTTGTAGGAATTTTTCGTCTGGGACAAACAACCTGGGACGATTTTTCGGATCCCTTTCGTCGATGTCGATTGTTGTTTTTTCGTACCTTGACGTGGCACCTGTGGGAATGACATCAGCACTGAGTTTAGCTGGGCTATTTCCAACACTTACAAGGCAAGTCCTCCCCTCTTCCAAATCCCCCCGTTCCTCTACTCCGGGATGGTCTGCCCACATCTGCGCTCAGAGCCTTCAGGACGTTGACTTGGAGTTGAACGTCTCTTAAAAAACACTCGAAAATGTATGTGACAAGTTGATTTATCTGTTTCACCTTAAATATTTCATCGTCCCACCCAGGGTCCGTAGGAACCCATCCCTTCCGGATCTCCCTCCCCCGGGCGTTTGTTTTTTGAAAAAATCTGGGAAATTTTTCGCAAGAAAATACTATAACGCGAGTTCTGTGCAAGATGGCAGCAGTGGCTTTTTGAAGGAGGCGTCTCCTGCGACTCCTGCGTTCTCTTCAGTCTCTCCAGAGCTCCCTAACGGTCAGTACCGCCTCGGCCTTTTTCAAATTTGAACACAACTTTGACGATATTTTAGGTATTCATTTTATCATTTTTCCAACCGCGGTTTTATTAACAAATAAAGGTGGAAGGTGTTTTGTCTTCTTATTCGACGTTCACATTTTCCCTTTTGTCAATGGTGCAGGGTTTAGAAAGACTAACACGCGTTTGAATAATGATGTCATTTTTAATTTTGGAGTCTTAAACTATCGATGCCTGACTTTCACTCGGCTAATTGTTTTTTTTCCGGCGTGTATCAGATTTACCAGGTACCAAAGAAAACTGCGCGACAATCCACAACTAATTTAAAATTCCAAGTTACTCACACTGATGATTATGTTTATAGTATAATGCAAAAACTTCCTGTACGTTTTATTAACTACAAATGGAGATATTGAAATGATTTAAGCCTTCATTCTTGTCACACAGCGAAAATTATTAAAAGATAAAAAAATAGTATAGACAGGAAAGAACAACTTCCTTGAGTTAAAAAAAGGCAATGGAAAATCACTGTATTACGCCTTTCAAACAAAGATAGTGTTTTACATAGAACAAATAGAATATGTAAAACTTTTAAAAATTTACTATGTAACGTGTTGTAAGTATAGCACTTACAAAGCTTTCTTTTGATTCAAGTTTAAAATAAACTGAGAAAAAAAACATGTAATAGTTTCAGCAGTATGAATTTGACAAAAGATCTAATTAGGCCCATAAAACAGAAAATAGATCATCATTTGGAAAAATTCGCTCATTTCTAATTCTAAAACATATCATTTAGTATTTTATTTATTCTTTTATCTTTACAATACCTTACCCACCTTCACTGATTTATATCGGTAGGATCTCGCCGGGGGCAAAATGAGGAAGCTGTAAATGGGATTAGTTAGACAACAGCTTCCAGCTTTATTGTTGTGATGCCCTGACGGTGTTTATTGTTTGATTTTTGACACAGATTCTTTAAAAAGGACACGTGAATCTCGAACCGGGTTGACAATAAGAGAAAAAATAGAGTAACGCGATAATAAACTTTATTTTCTCCTTTGTAGGGAATTTAGGTTGTATATAATTTTTCTTTTCCATTATCCATTCCTAAATCCATTTTCCAATGTAAGATTGTAATGTGAATTTATGGGTTGAAAAAGTTTTTCATGATCCAATTTTTCCTTCTAGTTATAGTTTCTGAAATACACTCAATTTTCAGCCTGTAAACTGAAATTAGAGAAAATGTATTAATAATTTAATTTATTTTCTCAAAATTGAACCTACCACTTGTAAACAATACAAAAAATCTTTATTGAAATGGTTAGGGATGGTAATAAGTAGTTGAACTGCAATACTTTTACTATAATTTCTTAGTTAAAATTATTTTAAACTTCCAAGTTTGTCTAAATTTTTTAATTTTTTATTTCTAATCGAGAATTGTTGGATCCATAAACTATTTTTTTATGGGAGTAAGTGGAGATAATTTATCAGCATTGAAGGAAATATTGAAATATTTTACACTTTCAAGTTTGTCCTAAAATGAGATTGATTTAATTAATTTAATAATAAACTCTAACTTAGAGGAAAAGTAAGATTTTGAGGTGTTAACTTGATGAATACTTAAAAGTTCAACTGAACTTCCAAGGGCCAAGTTTGCATTTTGACTTTTTTTTAAATTAAAAAAAAAAAATTTTTAAATCAAACTTCCATATTGATTTCTATACTCAACTTGTACAAGTACTGTTGGCCAACATTGTACATTTAAGTATTAGACTATGTAGCCACGCTCTACACCTTATTATGGAATTTAGAAATAGTTTAGGGATGGTAATTATAGATAGTTTATACCCCCCTCGTGGCACTTACTTTTTCATTTCGACTAAAACCTTACATAAAAAGATTAATTAATTATAGATAGTTTTGAGTTATCAACTTTATGAATACTAGAAAAGAAAGTTTAATTTCCAAGTATCCAATCCTGTTCACGTATTGACTTTTTTCTGACAGAATTGTTGAATCTGGATAAAATGTAAAACTTCCAAGTTTTATATTTTTAATTCCTTTCAACCATTGATGGCTTTTTTCTATTATCGTATTGCTCGAACCACCCGCACTTTTTAATGAAAGTAAGTGGGGATAATCATGTCATATTTTGTTTTGAACTAACTATAGTAGAACTAGAAAATGAAATTTTGTGATGTACCTAAGAAAATAAACTTTAAGTTTCTTATTTTATCATTAAACTTCCCAGCCAAAATATTTCTTTTCGAATATTGTTGACATTTTATTGGAGTATGTTTTGAAACAACTACCATCCTTTTTTTTTATGAAGTGGTGATAATTTATCAGTGGCATTTTCGCAAAATGTTTTTATTGTTAATTATTTCCTTTTTGTTTTGCTATACTAAATCCGTGTCATTAATCACCGCTCGTGCTTTCTTCGCATTTTTACAATTGCTCTTCAATTACATATTGTCATTCAAATTTTATGACATCTACTCGACTCTATTGCCGAAGGAGGAAAAAACATACATTCCAAGTTATACAGATAAACATATCTTGAGTATAATAAAAATAAATGAGGATTCGGGAGTGACAAAAAATTGAAAATTGTAGTAATAATCGGTCACTCCATCATCCTTTCATCGATTATCTGGTTTTTTATTCAATCATTAATACAGCTCGTTTGTAAAATAAATAATAGAAGTCATTAAACAAGAAGAGTTTCCTAAATATTATTAGCATATTCTTGTCGCTATAGTTGGCCTTCAGGCACCAAATGTTCATGAAGTTATTTTTCTGACATTTTCTTCTTCTTCTTAATTTTTTAAAAATAATTTTTGTATACAGACTCGTGTCTCGCGAGACGTCCAACCATGTCTGTAAAATGTATGCGGGATGATATGCGCGAGGGGACGGCCTGCGCGTGACACCGTCGCGTTTCCTTTGGTCAAATGTCTATCCAGAGGGCTAAAAGCCTCGTCTCCAGAGGATACCCGAGAACACGAAGATACACACGAACATCCAGGTACAAAAAAACTGAAGAAAAAAGTATAAACACCGTTTGTTTGAGTGGCAGACCTAACGCTAACTCGTTGATTGTTGGTTTTATCACTAAAATAAACACTAACCATCGCCAACGGAAATAAATTCTACACGGAATATAAAACGAAAAAGCTTATAAATCAGTTTTCAAAGGATAATACTGAAAGTATTATCTCATTAAATTTGTAAAAATCTTTTTGTACAAGCAGATCCGAGTTGTCAAAAAAAGTCACAAACACGAAACAGAGCTTACATATAAGTTGAAATATGCTTCCAACGCTCAGCTGAACTTTCAAACCTCGCTTTTAATCCACCAAATGTAATTTGCGAATATGTCAGAATGCAAGATAAATGTATAACAAATTATAATTGAAAATGTATATAAGATTATTTATTATATATCTTCTTCCATAAATCATCATCATTACAGACAGATCAATCCAGATTACAGATGAATCTATTTTCCGTCAGTCTCTTGTTCTTCGTCTCTTTCTTTCTCTTTTTCCGAATCTATATCTCCCCTTTCCCTTTCATGGTTTCTTTCTTCATCACCCTCTCTCGTTCTCTTTCTGCGTTTTCTCCATCACTCCAACTCTCCCTCTTTTTGACTTTCTCTTTCTCTGGATGTGACTGTGTATCTATATCCCCCCCCTCTCTCTCTCTCTCTCTCTCTCTCTCTCTCTCTCTCTCTCTCTCTCTCTCNCTCTCGCTCCCCTCTTTCCTCTCTCTCTCTGCCTCTCTATCTACCTATATATCAATCATCTCTGTTACAATAGAACTTAAACTTTCTTATTTTGAACAATGCGTAATGTCCCTGGATGAATGGGCTAGAGTAAAATAAATGTTTGAACCATAGTACGAGGATTTTATGAAAATTATCTCAAATAAATTGATTGATTACGTATTAACATTAATACTACATCGACAATACATTAATCAATAATAATAATCGCATCGCCAAAGAGTGCCGAAATTACAGGATCTGGGAAATTTTTCTTGCTTTCAAAATGATGTCAACAAATCGGAGGAATGAGCTCCACCTATGACCCGAGTGGATGAAAAATATACAAAATTGCACATCAAAAATTGTAAAACGATTTTATTGTTGTTTCAAGATGATCAAGGAATTGTTATGTGTCTTGTTGTTTTTGCGCTCTTTTCTTAACGCTTTTGTGCATTATCAAGTTCAAAACAACAAAAATCTTGATTTTTATATTTTAATTTTTAAATATACTTATCCAAGATCTCTCTTTTCTTAAATTTTGCATAATTCCATTGACTTGCGTGAATCATTACCACTTCCGTTCCGTTCGGCTCTTTCTTTTCAAGAACTGCACTGACAAAAGAATCTCTTTTCTTTTTTTACAGGGAGTTGATCTCAACATGGATAAAAAAGGTTGGGCCCATAGAGAAAAACATTCCGCCAGAAAATGTACAAGCATTACTTAACGACATACGCTTATTTCCGTCGTCGAATGTGCAAGGTAAAGAACAAAACAATTTTTTAAATTTTGTTAATTTAAAGTTACACCCAGACCAGTCAGGGTCTTGGCATTGACTGTCACGGCTGGTAGTTTCCGTGCACAACATTGTAGTTGCTCTGTGTCAGTGTGTCAAGGAGCACCGCGGCCGATCTTCATTTTAAAATAGGAAGTAGCCTTCCGCTTGCAGATTGTTTTCGTTGTCTTTGAAATTCCAAAACAATTTAATATAAAATTGTTTCCTATTATTCTCGCAAATTCAATAAAAAATATTCAACTATACTTGTGTATTTGTCTATTTTTAAACTTCTATCGACCAACTTAGACCAATTTAACAAACATCCTACAAAACAGCTTTTTTAATTTTATTTTTGCAGTAGAAGGCGTAACTGCGTAGGTAGGAAATCATGGAATATTTTTACGTTTCGGCTCCTTTGACTTCCTGTTTGATTAGTCACAGCTTCTAAGCACGAGTCAATCTTTTTGTTGTCTTTATCAATAAGAAAGACGTTTTTTTAATCTTTAAATCGAAATAAACAGAAAAAAAAGCTTGCAGCAATAGGTGAAACACCTCTCTTTCCATACTTATGTATTATTTACTCAATAGGTTTCAAGTTTTTGTAAATGCATTACCAAAGCATAATAAAAAATAATGTTAAGTCCACGGTGAGATAGAAAATGCTTTTCTAATGGTGAATATTTAATTAATTTAATTTAATTTAAGGAAACCAGGAATTTATTGGTAGTTGAATTTATTTCTAAATAAACTAATAACCAACATCCTAGATTAAATAAATAATTGGTTTCTTTTAATTTAAAAATAATCTCTATTACCTTTTTTACACGTTTTAAAGATTTTTGGAATTGGTTGAATGACTAAAATGTCATTTTTACATGAAAACATTAAAGGAATATGAGAACAAAAAAAGGTACCATTTTGTAATGAAACTAAAATCTTTTTTGTAAAATGGCCTTTCAAAATACTAATTATAAAAAAAATAAAAAACGCAGTTTTTAATAACAAAATTTAATTTTTTATCCACAAATCAAATGTGGACTAAATATATGGAAGAAACCAATTTATGTTAGTTTGATAGTTACCAATCATCTTCGTTGTCAATGTTGAATTTAGGTGATTTCTGTGGAATCAACACTGAAAATTGTAGAATGCCGAAATGCGCCTGACTGAAAAAATCAATGAGGATAGGCAGACCAAGATGATTGGTAGCTATCAAACTATAGACCACCAAATCAAACACTTTACTTTAGTCAAATATTACATTTTCTATTCACAGCACGCAAATTAACAACTTTATAATCTACGTTCTCAATGAAATAAACCTTTAGGTTTTTATTAATTAGTTAAAAAACTGAATATAGACAAAACAGTAGTATAATCTTAAACTTTTCTTCATTTCATTTATAAACAAGCTTTTACCTGTGACTTTGTATACGCGGGACTCTTTTAACGCGCCTTCTAATGCGATGCAGAGTGCTAGAATAGCTTTCTAATATTATGGCTCGTTTCTCAAATTCTTCTCTTCTTCAGTTCACTCCAGTCTATACATGGTAAAAAATTGTCTGACAGTCAGTCATGAAACTGTTTTATATATATGGATAGGGATGGAATTTCAAAAAATCATTTCTTAGCGGCTATCCATCTCATTGTAGGAATGCACTGTCGAAATTTCAGCCCTTTAGATCCAGTGGTTTGGTCTGTGTGTTGTCTGTCAGTCAGTTATTTCCCTAAGCATTGGTGTCATTTTAGTAGTTGTACAGTTTCCAGACTTTGCAGTCACATAAGGTATGTTCCGACATCTCTAATGTTTCATGGAGTCAGCAAGTTTCTAACTAAGATTTGCTTATTTTTTTAAGGTGGTAATTAAGGGGTAATTATAATTGCAAGTATAAATGATTTTTATTTTCTTAATGGCCTGCTAGAAAAAGTGGTAGACTTTTGTTTTTCAGTTGAGATGTGAGGTACTTCTTTGATTGTTTTGCACCTAATGAATTTATCCAGTAGTAATTTCTTTATACATCCATTTATTCAGTTTTGCTTTTAACATCCTTTCTAGTGTGCCTATTTGTGGTTCTGGTTCAAAGAGTGTGAGAGCTGCTCCTGTTTTGGCTATTTTGTCAGCCAACAAACACACGGGCTTCCATCCTGGACGTTCCCAAACTAGCGTTGAGTTAAAAATAGAGGTGTCTAAAATAGGTTTGTGCACCTTTTTGTCCCTTATTAGGTATTTATTGGCCCATTTCTATTGAATGGATCTGAGCTTAGAAAATTAATGGTGTGTGGTCTGTAGGTTTCGCTAGGTCAAAATTTGGCCTTTATTAACTCCTACCCTCCACTCTATTGACTTTACTCCATGTTCCATTTTGTATCCATATGTTTTCCATAAATAAGGCTCTATAATTGAGTTTCAGGGTTTGTGTTTTTACAAACATCAATTGTTATTTTTATTCGGAAATCGTAACGGCTTACAACAGTAGTCCACTATTGGTCTTTCATCATACACTATTTTATTGTATCGACTCAGTTTAAAAAAGTACATTTTAATGACCAAGAAAAGATGTAAAACATACATACTCAGGGCCAATGATGACCTCAGCTTTTTGTCAGCCCATAAACCTCCCACATTATTATTATTAATCCATTATGTTTAGTGGTCTAATTGACCAAATTACTTCTTTCAATTAATTATTCTTTTTATGTAAGGTCTTGGTTGTGATGACAAAATTATTGTCACGAACTGGATTTGAACCCATGACCTTTCTGGCTCAATACACCTCTGCTCTAACCACTTGGGCTATCGTGACTTCAATCCACTCGGACTCCAACTCTCCATCTCAACCTACAACCTTTCAAATTTTCCCTTTTTTTGCCATTTTTCAAAAAATCATTATTATTATTATTATTACAGTATCGACAGAAAATGGATCAAATCAAACTTCTGGATACTGTTTTTCTGGTCTTTGACAGACTCTTATTACAGTTTGTTTTAATTTTTTTTTTTTTTTTTTTTTTATTAATAATTAATACACTAATACATTGAAAACAGGAAAAGTTTTCTAAACCTGAACTTGAAATATTTTTGAATAGTATTAACCAAAAGACCTAACAAAATTGAAAATGTACTGACATGAAGTAATCATTGATTTATCAATTATATATAATCAATGTATTTTCTTTAAGTGCCAATAGTATTCAAAACAAAATAGCCATAGTTTTGTTGGTTGAAAATTTCAATCTTATCATAAATCGTATCGTGAAAGATAACATTGAAATTGTATAAACAAAATTGAATACAAACGGATTTTTGTTTTAAAAATATATCCTTATATAAGGAGATATTCTCTTATAAACTAAAGACTTATTTTTATTTATTGTTCTACCCTAGATGGATATAACTTTTTGTATATAAACAAAATTAACACCCCCGTTGTTTTACAGTCAGAGAAATGCTCGAGTGTGCGAAGGAGGTCTCTGACAGAAGGCCACACATCACAGAATTTTATAATTTTACATCACAAATCAGACGTTCCCATGATAGGGGGTAAGTATTTTATAACGGTTCGTTTATAATTATAAATGAGTTAGCATTTGTTCCTACTATTGGGGGCTAGACAATAAGAAAGCCCGTGTACAAATTGCATCATGGTTATAAATAATCTATACTCTCTCCCACCAAATATTGTTGAAAATTACAATTGTTATCATATTTTTTAAAAGAAAAATTGCCTCATGTCTCTATTTTTCTCAATATTTACACGGTCTAATAGAAAGAGAGGCTACTACTTTTTATCGCCACGATTTACTTTTTATAGTTGTAATTTTAATTTTTTTGTTGTTAACACATGATAACATTGTTTCAAAATTTTATGTTTCAAATCAAAGGAACCTTCACCAACTGAACAAAAATGGTGATCAGAAAAAGAGAAGACCTCGGAAAATGTCAAGTAAGCATCTAGTTTCTCATATTTTTTCCCTCCATTGAAAAATATTCAAAACCTCATTTGGCATCCACATCTCTCAGGCATTTTGAGATATATTGTAAATTTTGAAGTAAATTATTTTTTGATATTTCTATCTTGTATATTCATAATTAATAATCAGGCTTGATAAATTCAATGTGGATTAAACCTGTTTTATTTTATTTCAAGTCTTAAAGGGAAATGCTGTCGTTATGGTAAAAACTAATTTCTTAATGTTATTGGTTTATGGCCTTTCTTTAAGCAAAAAGTTATTTGGATGTTATAACTAAATTCAGTGTATTATGTTTAAAAGTAGTAATAGTAAACTAAAAATATCCATTCATTTTTAACTACAGTCTCTATGGGTAAAAGTTTGACTTAATTTTATTTTGTTCTCTTGCCATCAAAACAGGATTTTATAATATTTTATATATTTAATATATATATTTTTAATGAACATTTTGTATTAAAGAAATATTTTTTTACAGAATATGTCTCTCCACATGATGTATTCCTTGGAGGTTCGTGCAATCCTACAACTTGGCGTCATGATGTAGCGATACCACTATTGGAATCGCTCAACATAACTTATTACAATCCAGTGAGTTTTTCCTTCTTTTTCTTTTAATAAAAATATTTTAGTCAAAATTTGTAAGGAATTGAATAGTTGGTCCATTATTGCAGCAAGTCTCAGAATGGAGGGCGGAACTCGTCGAAGTCGAACACAAGGCGAAAGAAAGTGCCAAAGTTCTATTTTTTGTTCTCGACAAGTGCACGAGGAATGTCGTTGGCATCATCGAAGCGGCACATTTCGCAGGCAGCCGCCGTCCCCTTGTTCTCGTCGCTGACAACTACACGGCTGACCAACCAGTAGGCGGTGAAGCAATATCACACACGTCAGTAAATGTACATATTTTAAAAGTTTTTGTTTGCCATTTGTTTTGTTGTTTATTTTTTTAATCGATATTTTTAACTATTGTACTTTCATCCAAATTTTGATTGTATTATATTTTATTTATTTATTATTATTATATATATATATATATATTTTTTTTTTAGTGAGTACGAGGAGCTTTGCAGTGGTTTAGCCACATTAAGAGATCTTTTAGAGCTTCAAGGAATACCGGTGTTCAATAATATTCCATCTGCCATAAATTGGACTTCAAAGGTGCTTCAAAATTTTCTATAATTTGAATAATATTGATTCAAAATTTTAATATATTATTTATTTTTTAGATTTTGAATGAATACAAAACTATTCCACAACGCAACAATTTAAAAAATTCTTTATTTTCTGAAGACACAATAAGAATAAGGTTTGTATTTTTAGGATATTGTCAAACCAATGCAATAATTTATTTCCAATATTCAATTGTCTTTCAAGTTCAAGAAAACAATTTAATGAGGGTGAGTGGAAAAAAAATGACTGTTCCCTTATAGGATTTTGATTGGAACTATGGCAGTTTTTATTTCTTCCAATGTCTATTAATGAAATGAACCATAGCTCGGAAGAGGTGGGTAATCTGAAGGAGCTAGGTCTGGTGGGAGGTGTGTTAGGTGCTCAGTACTGTTTGTAGGAAAATATGTAGTCAATAAAAAATTCTGGCTATTCACTGAAGCTTGGTATCGAATCTCTGAAATGTATATTGCAGTTGTTCTGAATCAAGCAGAACAAACAGTTCAACAACATTTAAAAAAATAAAATAAAATAACAGCAAGGTCCGTACAAAAGACTATCAACTATCCATGCTGTATTATGGCCACATACACTTTTGTCATAACACTTTGATACATTGTTAAATATTGTATTTTAAAGGAGCTATAAGTGTATTTCCAAATGACATTATTACCGCAAGTTGCGCTTTTTTTCACTTTCCTGACTTATCAGTGGCAATGCTAACTTAACTATAATGGACCTGTTTGTTTGACAGTTGACTTCTTGTGGGATCCAACATCTCATAGAGTATATTTGTGGTATCGACAAGCCTTGAACTTTCTTTTTACAGTTCTGGTTGTTTTCAACAGCTAAATTAAGTTCTCCAATACTTGATGTTACCAAAATTTCATATATCAGCATCATTTGTGTTGTAGGAATGTTAACAGAATATAAAATGTAAGTAATATGTTTACAAAATGATTCACTATAATAAACGCATTAAAATAAAAACAACAACATTGGAAGGCAAGGCGAGAAAGAAACTCAATAAACATTTATGAAAGTGAAACAATCAATTTTTTAACTCACTCTTTCTATTTAATTCTAAGATAAAAATCGTCAATACAATGCTCTCTCCCTAAACTGATTATCGGTACTCTGAGCATTCCAGTTCATTAGTGATGACTTGTAGAATTAAAATCATTTAATATTGACAGCAATTACACTTTTTTTAATTTTAAGTAACAATTCTACTATCAGTTTCATATACTAATTAATTTAAAAAATTAAATTATTTAAAATAAAACAAGAAAACGAAAGAGAAAATTGATCCTTAATTTCCATTTAATATAAATTTTCAGAAAACTGAGGGAAATTTTTGAAGATTTAGAGCCAAATGGGAGAGGAGAAATTAATCTTAGTGACGTAAGTCTGATATATTGTCACTTTACGGTTTTCAAATTGAAATTATCATCATTATCGAAATATCATTATGCTGTTGTGTATCATTTCTTTGTAGTAATAGACTTTTTTTTTTTTTTTTTTTTAGTTTTATCTTGCCTACCAAAAGCAGGCTTTGCTAGCGAAAAAGCATTCTTTGATAGATCTGAGAAGTCATTTGTCTTCGTCGAAAGGTAATTTTAAAGAAAAACAACTATTGTAATTTTTAACAGCCCATTTTACCCGTTTTAGATGTGAATCCTGAAGGAGTAAAAATAAATTTTGACCAGTTCTGCTCTATAGTGAGAGATCTTAAAAGCACATCAAAGTCCAGAAACGGAACGAATGAAAGTGAGCAAAGTTGTTTTACTTCTAGAATATTCCGTCCAATCTACCATATTTTAGGTACTAACAACTTATCCTGGGTTAACTGAATGGAAATCAATTCAATTGCATTGTGCAGCAAAATAAATATCCTGATCCGAACATCCATGTTAAGCATTCTCATAACAAATCACATCAAAAAATAATTTCATCCTTTATTAATAGCCAAGAGGTATTTTAAAACAAAACAAGTTTTTTTTTTAAATTACAAATTAAATTTTGTTAGTACATGTGTTGAATATTTTCATATGTACACAAGTAGAATTTAAAATTTCCTAATATCAATCTTATTTGTATCAATAAATAAGACATTAATTAATTCTTGTAAATATTAAATTTCCAAATTCTTCAGTAAAATATTTCTTGACAGTTATGAGTAAGGACAAAAGCTTTTTCACGAAATGGATTGTTCCCATACAGAGCTTTTTTCCTTTTTTGAGATGCCACCCTCCTCTTTGGAAGTCAGAACGCAAGCATGGGGAGAAGCTTAACAGCATGATTTACACGCTTAAGCTCAATATTTCGCATGTTTATAAAAATCCGAAGGTCAGTAAGGAAAGGGTAGACGAAGTCTGCTATAAAGTATCTACCCTTGAAAACCAATTGAAAACGATACATTCTCTCGTGCAAAAGAATTTCGAGCAGGAGTCTTCAGACCTTATTATGCGTTGCAGGAACTTGAGTGAACTGATTGATTGTATCCGTGACGACGTATTCCAAGCGTACTTAAGCCTCACGCCTGCTCAGAAAGCTGCTCTCAACTGCAGGAGCAAACAGATATCCCTTGTATTTTCAATACTCGGGATTTTGGAAAATGAAGTGTGCAGCGTTGCTAAAAGGCTAGATTCAAACTATGCCGAGTCCCAGATAAAACCTCTGCTCGCTCCCTATATAATCCGGAAATCAAGATTCGCTGGTAAAGTCAATAAACTTCTCAAAGACATTGATAGAAACTCTGATTACAATTTGAACTTTTGCTGTTGTCAAATCCGAGAAACAATCGACAAAGGAACGGATCCAATTGAATTTTCCAAAGTCGAAGCCGGTAAAACTGGACAAGGCATATTAATGAGGGAAACGTCGACTGCGTCTGTCGGCACAGACTTTCTTGACTCGATTTTCTACTTTAACTTGAAATCTGCACCGGGAAAAACTGTACATTCGGATACAAACAACTCATTTCTTTCGGTCAAAGGTTCAAACAGTCACAACACCGCTCATGACTTGAAATAGTTAAGAAGCATCACTACTTTGCTCACTGTAAAGCACCATTTTGTCATCATCTGCTTGAAGAAATGAAAGCATAAGCTTAAACTGTCCACAAATTTCACTGGATTATTTTTGACACATGTTCAAATTAACAACAAACAAAAAAATTAATTAAATTGTCATATGTCTAACATACTAATATTTCTTATTATATGCCATATTATTTTAACAATTATTAATATAATTTAAGTATTAAAAGAAATTTAATATTGATTTGTTTTTAATCTTATACCAGTTTGTATTTCATTTTATTCAAAATCTTTAAAATGTAATCTGAGAAAGGTCCTCCAACCCTCTCATGGTGCTCCATGATATGGCAAAACGGTGGTTGTTGTCTGTGTGCTTGGCTGGACAATAAGCTGAACAAGGCAGCTAATACTGTGATGTCCCAACCCCTAACTACCCACCACAATCTAGCCCTCTGACGCTGAAAATGCATTAAAAACATGATTAAAAGAAAATGGCAGCGTTGGTGGGCCTGGTCTGCAGAGAAGCTCTTGCGATTTAAGAGCACTGATGATAGGTGGCACTCGGAGGATCTGACACATAGAAGAGGAGTCACTCCTCCTCCTCACTTCAGTCCTCCCCTGATTAAGAATAGGCCATGCGAGATTGACATTTTTGGGCACCGGATATGAGAACTGTACTTGAGTACAGCAATGAGTATTTGGGTATCCTGTTCCGATTTTTAGAGGATTTTTTTTACTGTATACAGTGTGTTCAGCTACTCATGTTACAAACTTTGCCAGTAGATTCTATATTCAAAATGGAACCAAAAAGTCCTAATTATGGTGGTAATTACACCATGGTATTCTATATATGATCCGAATCTCAACAATTTTTGAGTTATTTTACTTTTTCTGATTTTTTAAGATTTCATGACCTTGCTTAAAATAAACAATGATAACTCCAAAACTAAAAGGTTTTGGACAAATCCATTGAGACCATTGAAAAGTACATTAAATTTCCAATAAGATGTGATCAATATTAAACTTGTAAACATTAGTAAAAAAAAACATTTTAGTGGCAAGTTTTTTTATTTTTTATTTTAAAGTTGAAAAACTTACTATGGTGATTGTAAACTACTATTGCCAAACCTAGAGACCAGCAAATTTCAGAAAATGTACTCCATTTAATATCCTTTTTAGGGTGTAATTGCTTTTTTAATTACTTTTTTCAAAGATGAAGCAATTGGTCAAGGGAAAAAAACGTTGCTGAAGGATCGGTAAGGTGGAAAGAATAGTAGTTTAGAATCACCATAGTAAGCTTTTCAACTGTGAAAAAAAATAAAAGTTTTCAAAATTCTCGTACTAAAACGTTTATTTCACTAACGTTTACAAGTTTAGTATTGATCTCTTCTTTTTGGAAATTTTTATGTACTTTTCAATGGTCTCAATGGATTTGTACAAAACCTTTCAGTTTTGGAGTTACCATTGTTTATTTGAAGCAAGGTCATGAAATCTTAAAAAAATCAGAAGGTGGAATAACAACGAATCTGCTGAAATTCGGACCATAGTTAATTAGGATTTTTTTGGTTCCATTTTGAATGTAGAATCTGCTGGCAAAGTTGTAACGCGAGTAGCTGAACTCCCTGTATAATACTTTACTATGATAATAGATACGATGATAATAGATATCTTGTTTTGTTTGACTCTTGAGATTAAATGCATTTATTAGCATGAACGTATGTGTGTAGAAAGAGATGTTAACAATTTACTTATTAAAATACATGCAAAATTTAGGTCTCTGGGGCCTTTCTTACACAACATGTAATTACAGTTATAATACTTGTTTATAGTCGCATCAGACATAAAATAAAAATAACAAATTAATGTAAAATCAACAATGAAGTAAATGACTAAATTGAGAGTAAGTTAAACTTACAAGTTATTCAATCAATTAAGATTTTAAGTTGAAAAAAGTCAGTGTCACGAGGGGGATTCGAACCCACAACGAAGTCACGATAGCTCAAATGGTAGAGTAGCAGCGTATCAAGCTGAAGGTCGTGGGTTCGAATCCCACTCGTGACACTGACTTTTTTTATCTCAACTTAAAACCTTAATTAATTGAATGTTATTAATTGGTCAAGCAGACCACGAAAAATAGTGAACTTACAAGTTAGATTTTATACAGAGCATTTTATTATTGAATAACATTGCAAGAATAAATAGACTTTGGCTAAGTATAGTTAACGGTATATAAGTTTGTAAAATACAAATTGTATAAATAAAATTACATATAGATTTTTCGATTCTTAAAAACCAGATTATGAACCTTCTAGAGTCAGAACATAATTCTATTATTTAAAAATGAAATAAACTGCTAATAAAATGATTAGTAACGTTTTACAAGTTAATGTAAAAGTATATAATAAAAAATATAACAAAAGTGTATAAGTATATAATGTGAAGTTAGCTAAGTAAATATAGATAAATGCTAATTTGTAATATTATATTCAAAACTATTTACTTAATAAGTATTCTTTAACTTTTTCTTTGAATGATTTTATGTTTTTTATTTGAACTATATAATTCAGTATGGAGTTAAAGATGTTTGAAGCTTGTATTTTAAATGGATTGCTAAGTGGTTTTTTTTTCTCTGTTTTGATAGATGAATTAAGTGAGTAGTTCTTTCGGTGTTAATGTTATGGATATTGCATTGTAATTTAAAATGTGTAGAGATTAGGGACCGTTAATCGATAGTTATGCAGATATCGCGAGATGCGGTCGGGTAATTTAAAATGATCAAACATGTATTACGTTACTAATGAATAGATTTGTAAGTCTTTAATTTTTAACATTTTTAATATCACAAATTTGTCATATATTTTAGAATCATATTTTAGGTTAAGGATGTAACAGATGCACATATTTTGTGATTTTTGAAGTTTATTTTGTAATATGTAGTAGGGAGGGAGAGAGAGAGAGAGAGAGAGAGAGAGAGAGTGAGAGTGAGAGAGAGAGAGAGATTATGAGTGAGGAGAGTGTGAATGGGTTTGATCTGGAGACAGATTGCATTTGGCAGCTGAAATTCCCTAGTTGTTGATAGGCCTGGAGCCAACCTCGGAGGCTGGACCGATAAGACCGAGATCTGACTCCAGACTGCCAATACCCGGTGGGGGGGGTCTTAAGATCGGTAATTTATTGTAAATTAGAAAAACTGGAATTGCATCTCCACCTTTGTACACTCCCATCCAATCCTTCTTTACAATATTTTTTTAAACACTATTTAAAACAAAATTAATTGATGATTTTAGAGCTAAGTGTGTGTTGTAAGTCAAGAAGTCGTTCACGTATAATAGAAGATAAGCGTTACGACATTTATGTTGGTGGCTCTTGCCTTGATCTTGATTGGAAAAATAATATCGCAATTCCTCTTCTCAAGTAAGCAAATTAATTTATTATTTGTATGCATTATTATAATTATTATTAAATGTTGTGTGGTTTGTAAATGTAGTAAAAGTGGATTGAGGTACATAACAGCAGACAAGGAGATACTCAATGTCAGTGGAGCAACACCGAATGAAGCAAGCAAGATGGAAAGCAGCAACTTGCTTTTATTTGTTATAACAAGTAGCAGTCGGAGTCTAGAAACAATGGCATTGGTTTGTATTTAAAAAAAAAATTATTATTGAATTCTTAACTTATGTTTACAATTTTTTCAGGCTTCTTACTACATTGGGGCCAGACGAAATGTTATACTTTGTATTCAACGCCTTCATGATTCAGATTTGATCAACGGAGAAAAAGTGAGTAGAATCATTGCAACGAGTGGTTTTGTGTTGTTTAACCTTTTCTTTTGGGTAGATGTCGACGTCTGCACTGAGCGACTACAACCGCGGAAGAGTTTATCTGAGAGATATGGCTCTCAGGAACGGCATCGAGGTGTATGAAAGCGTATCAGAAACCGTCCAGAAAGCAATTGAAAAGTGCACAAGCAGGGGAAGCAGTACTTTATAATATATATTTTTTAATTTACCTCTATGATAAAAACATCACAAAAAATTGTGATAACTTGAATAATTTTAAGAAGTAAACACGGTGTAAAATTGATTAAGCTGTGAAATTTTTATTACAAGAACTTTTTATATCTTCAATGCATGGCTTTCCAAAACAAGAAAAAGTTGCGCTTTAATCAAGCCTTTAAATAAGAAATCTCATTTGAAATATGTATATTTTTTTATTGTTCATTAACAGTTTTTTGTTTAATTTTTTAAATGACCAAGACATGCTGTATCATGTTTCAATTAAAGCTTTTATTTTACTTATATGTAATATCAAACTTAAAAATTCTAAAATATTTAGTTTTGGTATAACATAAGCATAAAAATTAATTAACGTTTCTAAAAAAATAAAAAATTAAAAAAAGCACTGATAGACATTTTGTTTCCATTTGTAGGATTATTACTAAAACATCACATTGTAAATAAGGGCAGGAAATTAGAATAGTGCACCTATTGCATGATAAAGATTTTTTTTTTTTTTTTTAAGTATAAAGGAAAAGTTGGAATGAAAAGAAGGATCAAAGGATGCTGAATTTTAAAAAGATTTTTTTCAGTTAAAAATGTAATGAAAGACCAGTTAAGTACCTGAAATATTATAATGAAGATTGCTTATGTTGTGTTTGTTTTTGCAAAAGGTTGTAACAATAAATTTAAAACTTAAAAAACGAGCTAAGATGATAAAACTAATTGTTAATTTATCCCAACAAACTTAGATTGTAAAAGTCTAATAATACTCATAATTTTAAGTATCTTGATATAATAATTTAGAATTTTTATAAAATTAATTTTGAAAAAAAAACTAAAGAAAATACTAAAGTTTCTAACTAATGTACTTAAATGTTTTGCATTTACATATTGTGTATATTTTCTCAGCCGATTGTATTGTACGATTTATGTAAATCATTGTAGGTAAAGGCGCTAATTTTTTTTTCTTTTTCTTTTTTTACTTGTGAATTGTATTGTTTCATTTTTTCTCTCATTGTCTCACTCAAATTATGTTTCTGTTTGAATGTTAGAAATTATAAGTTCTGCATTTTGTTTTAACAGTTAAAGAATAAAAAATATAAACATTTTTTTTTGCAAAATTTAATTACTGATGCCTCGCCTAAAAAAATATATATATAAAAATCAGAAGTTGATTTTGCTGGAACAGTTAAGAAGTAAAGTCTAACCCGTCAGTTTTTATAAGGGCCACTTTATAGTACTTTCTCAGATTAATATATATTAAAATTCTTAAAGGAATACATTGTAGATAAAATAATCAGATAATTTTAATAAAAATTTCAAAAAATTTGTTTTAAGTCAGTACAACATCAATGTTGAAAAGTGTCAGCATAAATCATAAAACATAATACAGTACGATTTTGTAATCATGTGTCATTGATAAATCAAGCCATTTTGCACTAGTAGTAGTATGTTAGTATGTATTATTTAAAGACAGGAAAAAGGATACACATGAGAGTCCTCAAAAAAGCTTTGGGAGTTGGCAAAAAGCATTAAACTTAAGGAAGAGTTCTATTCAACAATGAAGATGCACAATAGACCAATCCCAACCATGGTGCATATTTCATAAAAGGGCAGCTCATTCTAGAATTAATCTATGTATCTATGCTTTTATAAATATTTTTGGCGACTAAATAACATCTTTCAATTAATTAATCTTTATGTAAGGTATTTTCAATCGGATCACGAAATCTAATGAATTTAATAAGTTAAATGAAGTATATCTTCACTAAGCTCTCTGTGACCATTTCATTTGTCGCCGAGAATCAAATAGATTACACGACATTTGAAAAATGGCAAAAAGGAGGGAAAATTCGAAAGGTGGGTTGTGATGGGAAGTTTGTGTCCGAGTGGATCAAAGTCATGATAGCTCAAGTAGTAGAGCAGTGGTGTATTTAGCCGAAGAACATGGGTTCGAATCCCGCAAAGGACACTGACTTTTTTATCTCAACCAATACCTTAAATAAAAATTAATTAATTGAACATGTTTGATGATGTTGAAGATTTCCTAATTTTTCCGGATTGGGATTTTAATGTTTAAACATTTGATACAAATTAAATTTTTGTCATATTGTGCTCACATATTATCAAATTCAATGTAGTTGTCCTAGTAATTTTTTTTAAATTTATTTAATTATATCTTGACTTTTTGATTCTTTCCCAGTATGGCCTGACATTTACTGATTATCATCCTACCACTTATGCAGTTATTGATCTGTACTTTCGGTTTACAAAGTGTAAGACAAGTTATATTAAAAGCAACTATATTTTACCTTTGTGCCAAATGCTAATACAAGTAGGCAAAAATTAAAGCCAAATATTCTTTAGGACATAGGTTAATACACTTGATCTATTTCAGTATATGAGTCATTCGAGTTTACAAATAGAATCATCCAAATATTGATGTAATTCCTGCTTTTGTCTAATTGACAATAGTCTTGTCTGTACAGTCACTTAGGTTGGGCGTCAGGGACTATGTCATTTTATCCCAACTCAATCAGTTCCTAAATCCAAACTGATTCACACTTTCTTTCACTCTTAAATACATTATTTCTTATTCACTTACTATTTCTCAATTAGAGTGGTAGAGTAATCAATATCATACTCTACGCATATTACTAAATCTAATTATATGTCAATGGGGTATTCAATATTCATCATCGGCCCTTTCACACTACACATTTATACCAATAAATACATTGAGTTTCATTATACACAAAGTAACACAAAACGAAATATATATAAAGAACTATATACAGTAAAGCAGCTGTTTCCTCTAAAAATTAGAACAGGGGACACAAGTACTCGCTTTGGAGATACCATATCTACCTTTGACATGATCTTACATTTGAATTATATAGTAAAAATGGCTAATATAGCAGATTCACATGTACATTAGGTAGTGTATGTGCGACCGAAACCAAAAACTAATACTTTCTGGATAAAAGATTGGTCATATGTGGCTGAAAAGTATGCTGTTACCAATAATTTGGATTTCTTCAAACTGAAAGTACTGCAAGCAGATGTGAAAAATATACTGACGAGGTTCCAAGAAAAAAGATAGCTTCCTTTGGTTCAGAACTGGTGATTTATGAAAACTTCCACTTTACAAAGAAATGGTTCCTAGTAAAAACAAAAAGATGTAATTTATTATATTATTTTGACTCAATTTTCTGATTTTTTTTTCATTGCATTGTGTTTTGTATATGTAATTTTGATTCTATTTTAACTGTAAATCTTTTTTTATAAAAAAAAAAAAAAAAAGAGGAAAAGTGGGATCTTCTACAAGCCAGACACATATGCTGGCTTTGGCCCAAAACAAAGAAAACATCAGCTAAAGAGAAATTTATTATATTGTTTTGACTCAATTTTCTGCATGGCGTTTTGTATATGTGGTTTTGATTCCATTTTAACTGTAAAACTTTTATTTAAAAAGAAAAAAGTGGGATCTTTTTTACATGCTGGACGCATATGCTGGCTTTGGCCCAAAACAAAGAAACCATGCGCCAAAGTTGTAATTTATTATATTGTTTTGACTGAATTTTCTGTGTGGCATTTTTCATATGTGATTTTGATTTTACTTAACTATAAATATTTCATATAAAAGAAAAAAAAGTGTGATTTTTTTACATGCCGGGCACATATGCTGGCTTTGGCCCAAAACAAAGAAACCATGATCTAAAGATGTAATTTATGATAGTGTTTTGACTCAATTTTGCATATGTGATTTTGATTGTATTTTAACTGTAAATCTTTTATATAAAAAATTGCATGGTGTTTTGTGTTTGTGATTTTGCATTTTAACTGCCTGCAAATCTGTTTGTATAAAAAAAAGAAAAGAAAAACTAGGATCTTTTACAAGCCAGACACATATGCTGGCTTTGGTCCAAAACAAAGAAAACATGCTATAAAGATGTAATTAATTAATTTATTTATTTATTATATTGTTTCGTTTTGATTCAATTTTGCATACGTGAGTTTGATTTTATTTTAACTGTAAATCTTTTATATAAAAAATATATATATAAAATTGCACTATTCATCTGAACAATTAGTTTTAGCAAGAAACATCATCAGAAGAACTTTTGTGTCGCGAGTCAATAAAAATTCAGACAATGCCGTCCGGCGTCCGTCCCAATTCCATTCAGAATCTAGGTCAATCCAAGGTCAATTTCCATGATCCATGCCGGAAAAAAAATCGCGGAGGGGCCGCGAATTTGGGGGGGGGGAGAGTAAATTGCAATTTAAAAAAAAATTACATTTTAATTTTAAATTGAAAATTTTAATATTGATTGATCGGTGAGAAAGATCACTACCGAGAACACCTTACGAATCAACTACGTAGCGGTACGCCTCAACCTTATTTCAAATATTTGGACATTTAATCAATGCTCATCCCAGTTAAAAATGAGAGGCAGTGACTTCCCTTATAAATACAAACGTTTCGTTTTTCTTTTGATTTCTTGTTCTGGTAATAAAATGGCAAAGATTATTTGTTAATTTTGAAAACGTGATTTTTTCGAGGGAGAGAGTACTAATTGTGCTAATTAATGTTGTTTTAATGGAATCCGGTCGGGGAGAATGTTTCAAATATAGGGTTGTGTTTTAAAAGGTGGTAAATGGATTTTTTAAAATTAATATTAGAGCTAATTTTTGTATTTAATCGAGTGATTTTTCTATAATTTGTTGTTGGAAGGTGAAAATGGCATGGAAGAAATTTTTTGAACGTTGTCGAAACGGGTAGCGTTGCGTTGGCCCGACTGTCCCTTAAATGCCGCATATGTTTCCTGTTGTGCTGTTTGTTGATCGAAGGTCAGTGGCACTGTGTCATAAAGTAAATATTTTGAAATGTACAAACTTATTGAAAATGTAAGTATTAGAGATGGTCAATTATTGTTAAATGGGGCCCGCCGGGGGCGGATGGGGCGGTGGGCCTGTTTCCGCCCTCGGCCCCTTTCGAAATCCACGTCTTGAAACGATTTAAAACCTCGTACGGCGGTCGAAACTCCCGGAGGCCCCGTACGGCGGATTTGAGGCGTCGGCCTTCCGCTCGCCCCGGGGGACACGCGCCGCGGATAAAACGTCCCTCCGATCCGGCGGATTTGTCGAATTTCCTCTTGTTTCTAGCCGTCCAGTCCCTTTTGCCCGTCTTATACGGCGGATAGGGGCGACGAAATTAGGTTAACATGGTAAACACTCGAAATTTGACACTTTCCCTTCTCAAAAACTCTATTTTATTACATTTAATCCCTATAGCCGACTATTGTTGACATTCGGACGCCCAATTAAAAACCAATTTACAGCCAATTTCTGCACAAATTCGAAATATTCCCCAATTTGATAAACCTTATCTTTTTTCTGTCAAAGGTGTCAAATCTTTTTAAACAACTGGACATCTTTTCCATACAGTTCGACGCTAATTAATAAACGGCGTGACACTATTTAATCAATTAATTCTCCTATTAAGAATGTCACTTGATTTATGCCAAATAGTTTTGTATAAGTTGGATCTAATCCCTCCCAATAATTTAGTTTGTACTGACACAATTTTAATCCACTTAAATCAAACATAAAATTTATCATTAATTTACCACAAAATCTGGTTGCTTTTGGCATAAAACATTTATAAAACACCAGCATCTTCAAAATTTAATCGCTGCTTTTAAACAATTTCAGATGCATTCAAATTGCAATGAACTTCATATCAATCATGATCATCTTGACAGTTGTATCAGTGGTTTTCAATGATTTCCTACGCATTCAGGTTTTAATAAACCTCATGTCATATTTTATGTATCGCCGTAAATTTAATCCCCCACAAGAATTTGGAATAAACTGATATCATTTTAATCATGAAAACAAACATACAATTACCACAGTTTTACACCAATATCTGCATTGTTTTTACTAAAAATTTTTTTTTTAAATTCCATCTTCTTCACAATTTAATAAGTGCTTGTAAACAATTCCGGATGCAGTCAGATTTCAATGAATTTCATAATTCCATATCGCATTTTATGTGTAATATCAAATTTAAGTAACCCCCTCTCCAAGAATTTAGATTGTACCTACCAATGTTAATCATTTAAATCCAACATAAAATATATTGTTTACTATTTTAAACAGTTGGAATATAGTGGTTATTTAAAATTATACTTGGCGTAATACACATTTATTCAATTATTATCACTGTTTTATCAATGGTTCGGATAATACCCTGGTTTGTATTTTATGTAATACTTCAAATTTAATGAGCTCCCAAAGAATTAAACTCACAATTTTAATCACCAGAACAAACGCACAGTTTTAGTTTTTACTAAAAAAATTTAAACAAGATCCTCTTAAAAATGTTATCAGTGGTTTCAAACAATTGCCCATATATTCAGGTGTTAACGAACGTTATGGTTTATTTTATGTATTGCCTCAAATTTAATGAGAGCTCTTACCAAGAATTTGGTAAACTGATGTAATTTTAATCACTAAAACAAACATACAATTTATCATTTATTTACAATAAAATCTTTTGACATAAAACATTTATATGAGTCCAGCATCTTCAGAATTTAATCACTGTTTTTTAACTATTTCCAATACGTTAAAATTCCAATGAACCTCATGTCAATCATTATCATCTTATCAATTTTATCAGAGGTTTTGAATGATTTCCTATGCATTCAAGTTTCAATAATCCTCATCGTATTTGATGTATTGTCTCAAATTTAATGAGTACCCCACAAGAATTTGGAATAAACTGGCATAATTTTAATCATGAAAACAAACATACAATTACCAGTTTAAGTTTTACACCAATATCTGCATTGTTTTTACTAAAAAACTTTTACAAAATTCCAGCTTCTTCACAATTTAATAAGTGCTTTTAAACAATTCCCGATGCAGTCAGATTTCAATGAATTTCATAATTCCATATTGTATTTTATGTGTAATATCAAATTTAATTAGTCCCCCCCTAAAATTTGGATTGTAAGTACACAGTGTTAATCATTTAAATCCAACATAAAATATATTCTTTCAATTAATTTTTCTTTTTATATAAGGTTTTGGTTGAAATAAAAAAGTCAGTGTCACGAGCGGGATTCGAACCCGACGACTTTTTTATCTCAACCAAGACCTTACATAAAAAGAATAATTAATTGAAAGAAGTAACTTGGTCAATTGACCACTAAAATATAAATGGATTAATAAAATATATTGTTTACTATTTTAGATAGAATATAATTTTATTTAAATTTGTACTTGGCATAAATACACGTTTATTCAATGCTATTATGTTTTCTCAATGGCTCAGATAGTAACCTGATTTGTATTTTATGTATCGCCTCAAATTTAATGAGCCCCATCACTTTAATCACAAAAATAACACAATTTATCATAGTTTTACACCAATATCTGTTTAGTTTTTACTAAAAAACATTTATTAAACAAGTTGATCTCAAAAGTTTTATAAGTGGTTTCAAACGATTTCCCATGTATTCAGGTTTCAAGGAACTTGCTGTTGATTTTTGTATTGTTTCAAAATGAGCCCCCTCCCCCAAGAATTAACTGATATAATTTTAATCACCAGAACAAACATAAAATTTTAGTTTTTACTAAACAAAATTATACAATATCTCAAAAGTTTTATTTTACCCTTACTTTTAAACAATTTCCCATGTAGGTATTTAGGCTTCAATTAACCTCGTTATATTTTATATATTGCCTCAATGAGTCCCTCACAAGAAATCGGATTAAACTGATGTAATTTCACTCACTAAAACAAACATACAATTTATCAATAATTTAAAATAATTTTTTTTGACAAAAGTGTTGCTATAAAACATTTATAAAATTTCAGCATCTTCAAAATTTAACCACTGATATAAACTGTTTCTAGTGCATTAAAATTTCAATGAACATCATGCCAATGATGATCATCTGGACAGTTTTATTAGTGGTTTTAAATGATTTCCTATGCATTCAGGTTTTAATAAACTTTTATGTTATTTTATGTATTGCCTCAAATTTAATGAGTCGCTCTCAAGAATTTGGATTAAACTGGCATAATTTTAATCACAAAAACAAACATACAATTCACCATCAATTTACAATAAAATCCAATTAGTTTTGACATAAAACATTAATAAAATACAAGGATTTTCAATATTTAATTACTGCTTTCGAACAATTGTAATCATGTAAATCCAACATAGAACGGTAATGTTTATTATTTTTGACAGTTTGAATATAGTTATTTAAAATTATACATCAATGAATAGGTTTACTCAATGGTATAAAGGTTTATCAATTACTCGGATAGTAATTGATTTGTTTTTTCGCATTGCCTCAGATTTAATGAGGCCCCCCCCCAGAATTAAACTGATGTAATTTTAATCACTAAAACAAACATACAATTTTAGTTTTTGCTAAAAAATTAAATAAGATCATCTCAAAAGTTTTATCAATTCTTTTAAACAAGTTCCTTTGTAGGTATTCAGGTTTCAATGAACCTCAAGTTCATCATTAATTTACAACAAAATCCAATTAGTTTTGATATGAAACATTTATAAAATACCAGGATCTTCAAAATTCAGTGGTTTCAAATAATTTCCTATGATAGATTTCTATGGACTTCTGTTGTTATCTTATTTATTGCTCCAAATTAATGAGCTCCCCAAGAATTTGGAATAAACTGATATAATTATAATCTCCAGAACCAACATGCTGTTTTAGTTTTTACTAAAACAATTTAAACAAGATCATTTTAAAAGTTTTATCGATTTCAAACAATTTCTCATGTATTGTCTCAATGAACCAAATATTGTTTGATCAACCAAGTATTGACCCACATTTAATGATACGTACCATCTCGAGAATTTGGATTTAACTGACATACTTTTAATCACTCAAATCAAACATATAATTTATCATAAATATGCAGTGATGTATGTTTAATTTTTACTCTTTTTTTTTGGGTCCTTGGTCAGGACTTTGAAAAGAGATGTTTTGTCCTTATAGTTTGTGTAAAAAATTGTTTATTTTTGGTTCATTTTAGATTCCCAAGGATGGAAATGTTCAGAAATGAGGTTTTATCTATGAAAAGTATGGATATTTTTATGTTTAAAGATTTGTATAAGTATTTTTGAAGATATTTGGAGAGTTAATTTTTTTTTTAAACAGGATCGTCTTAAAAGTTTTATCAATGGTTTCAAATGATTCCCTATGTATTTCAATGAAACTCAGGTTGTCTTTATTGCCTCAAAATTAATGAGCCCCAAGAAGTTATATTTAACTGACAATTTCAATCATTTAAATCAAACAAATTTTATCATAGATTTTATCAATATCTATTCAGTTTTTCCTACCTAGTCAGGCAACTTACAAAATTCAAGTTTTGTCCTGATTGTATGTGTAAAAATTTCTTATTTGTTGTACTTGTTGGATTGTCGAGGCTGAAAATCTTTGTAAAAGAGATTTTTACAAAAACCCTTGGTATTATTAGGTAAAAATTTAGATTCTAATGGCTAAGCAGTTTTTATTAAAAACATGTATTAAATTTGATCATCTTAATAGTTTTAACAGTGATTTCAAATAATTTCCCTTGGAGTCAGTTTGCAATGAACCTCATGTTTATTTATTTATTTTTTTAATTGGCTCAAATTTAATTAGTTTCTCCCTCCCAAGAACTGACCTAATTTTATTCACTAAAACAAACATACATATCAATTGATTTGCAAGAATATCTGATTATTTTTTTTACATAAAATAGTTATTAAACTCCAGCATTTTAGAAATTTAATCACTTGCTTTCAACATAGAATATATAAATTGATTTATAATTTTTATGGTGTGGTTGAGATGAAAAAGTAGTGTCACAAGCAGGATTCGAACCACGGCCTTCGGCCCAATATACTAGTGCTCTTATCACTTTGATCCCCTGAGACACCACCTCATCATCTCAACATACAACTTTTTCAAATTTCCCTCTTTTTGCCATATATTCAAATATCGTTTAATTGATTAATTCGATTCTTGGCGACTGATGAAACTAGCTGATAGGTGACTGTGAAGAGCGCTGTTAGCTGTTTAATGAGTTGGTGACCCAGATCATGACAAAAGCAAATGTACAGTTTAATTAATTTACAACAAAATTGATTAGTTTTTATATAAAACATTTAGTAAACTCTAGCATTTTGAAAATTTATTTGCCACCTTTAAACAATTTCTATGCCTACAAATTTCAATCAGCCTAATGTCACATTGCTTTGGAATATCTAGTGATATTTACTGATACCCACTCTGATAATTTAGATTAAATTTACATAGTTGTAAAGTGTAAAACCAATAGTACAATTTATCGTGTTTTACATTCTGACCTGGAATTTGTTTGGAAAATGGGACCGTATTAATCATAAGAATTATCCTTAAAGCTTCATCAGTTGTTCAATGAACCTCATGTTCATAAATGAACAGACTGTCTGAATCTTTTGCCACAGTATGAAAATCGAAGATGGTAAAAAATATTTCTTGTATGAAATTTTAAAAGTTTTTAGTAGACTTTTTGTACAAATTTATTAAATGAAAGAATATTTGTATTTAATATATATTTGATATTTCAATTAAATCATTCATTGAAGTCAAAAATTTAAATATTTGTGAGTTGCATTGTGCTTCTGCAAAAAGACGATTGTAGCTTACATCAACATTGCCCCTGCAACAGGTCTCTCACCCTCTCGGTTGGATTTACATTGGAACAATGCCCAAGTGGCTCCTCCTGATATAGTGTTTGTTGACGCTGAACCCTGTTTCAATACTATTGCACATTTGTGGCCACATGTCGACTAGTGCGTACTAACCTGGTGGCAACTCGATGTAAATTGATTGATAATGGCCTGGCTACCTTGTTCTACCCTGATGACAGAAAAAATAATGTTCTGCATGATATCTAAATTGACAGAGTTAATTAGTTATGAGACGGGGTTAATTTTGATCATCTAGCCATGGATTGATAAATACAGTAGATACTTGTTATCTGCAAGGGATACATACCAAGCTTCACCGCAGATAACGAGAACTGTAGATAATATGAAAGACCTTGAATTTCAAGCTACAAAGTATTTTTTTCTAGTATACTAATCAGACACTTTCTATAATACAGGTGCCTATTTTCACTGCCATGTATGAACTTATGTACACATATTTCAGATTTTTTCAATAAGGAAAATACAATGTATGGTAACATGCATTCTCATTATTCCCACTTTCCTCTAGAACTCGACTAGAGGGGCAATTGCAGATGAGTAAAACATGGATAACAAGTGTGTACTGTAAACACATTTTAATTTAACTGTTAACTGTTGGGATTTTTATTGGATAATATGGGTAAATTTAGTCTAGATTGAATCCCTGGAAACAGCCATTTAGTATATTTTTATGTCCAGAAATTCCTCACTCTCTTCTCTTGATAGTTCTAGGTGTTTCAAACTAAATCTTGTTTAAAAATTCAGTGTATCCATTTCATTTTGGCCTCACAATTGAAGATAACTGCTTTAAGAGAGACTGCATAAAAGAAGGATTTGATGATAGTATATGACAGGTCATATTCATATTTTCAGGGGAAGCCAATTTAGTTGATACTTTCATTCCGCCATTCATTGCTTTGTAGGCATTTTGGAGTGAAAAGCTCTCCAGTGTATTTGCAGATGTAAGACGAGCTTTCGATCATCTCACCAAGCAGCACTTGGAGCTGCTCTGACTTTTTTACCTTTACCCGTAAAGTTTTTATGCGATACTAAATGTCAAGTCATCATGCACCGCTCAACTAGCCTGCCCATAGTTGCTGGAACTCTAAAGAAGTATCTTGGGCCTTCTCCTAGAACATCCAATCCTTTCTGAAACTATCTTATTCCTCCTGTACACAATTGCCACTAGAGACTACCCTTGGGTCATCTACATCCATTCATGCATTAATCGGCGATGAGCCATAGTCCATTAGCCCAGGGTAGGAATTTACTGCGCACCTCATTTATGCAGGTGGACTCCTTTTAATATGAAAGTAAAAACCGTTTCCAATGACAACCCTCGCCACCACCATCACAGGCCACTGCACACCAGCCTACCCTTCGATGGCGATGGCTTGTGGTGGCTGATGATGGGCCATTGAGGCCTGTTTACAGGCCCTTTCTTATCTATCAGAACTTTGTAAACCCATGTCACATTCCTTGAGCAGGGGTTCAATTCATAAAAGTTGAGACTTGAATGTGAACATATTACTTTCACCCTTTAATAACCAACTATCATCCATCATACCTTGGACTTCAACCTCCTATGCATCCAGTCTTTACAGTCGTATTCATTCACACTGACCTTAATACCTTATTAGTCCAAAATCTAGTCCAAAATCTCTAAAAACAACTACATGAAACCATTATTAAATCATTCAAACTATTATCATACTACCCAAATCCTTTTGGCAGAAACTTTTAATCCTGCACCCTTCAGGATAATCCTCATCATTTTATTTCCCTGTTGTATACCTACTGTATACACAATTTATTTGAGAGCAGTAATTAGGCCTTTGATCTTGTTTGATAAGCACATATCTGATTTTTATTCACATCTTCTTACACAGTTTGCTGTAATTTATTCCAAAGTGTGGGTCTTTGAATGCTTAAATTGTTTTTTTCTTTTATGCCATGACAGCCAATGTAAGATTAATTTATTTTCAGCTCAGACTGGAAGATTGTTAGTGCATTTCTCCTCTATTTTTGTTTACAATTCAATGCTTGGCACCGCCGTCTATCTAGTTTGATAGTTATTTACTTACTGATTAAGGTTTTCTATTACACAGGCATTTCGTTCGAGAGTTTTACATCACCCCATCTGCCAGCATACCAAGGTTTGTTTTGGATTGGATTCATATTCTATCTTCTGCTAATCTATAGGTTGCACAGTAACCAAATTACTCATGTGATGATTGTAAAGTTATATCGTATACAATCAGGTTGTGTTGTGCTGTAATCTGAGGACACTCAACGATTAAAACATATGCAGTGGTTGATCTGTTGAGTGATGCATCTAGCCAATGTATATTCAGTATCATTATTTTTTGATAAACCAAGTTTTGCCTTTTGTTGTCGAACATTAAACATCCAATTTGTCCAAAACTTCTTTGACATCGTTTTGACAATTTGCATCGTTTACAAATTTGGTTATTGTCCATTTTCTCAGCATCTTTGCACGCCCACAGACTGATTGATGTAATTTTAAGGATGATTGCAAAGAAATTTTTTATAAGGACTTCTTTGTAGTACTTCGTGATTGAATTTGTTTGTATTTATCTAATTTGTGTCAATAATCATCCAAAATTTTCTTTAAAATCGCTTACATGTTGTTTAGTGGAACGACAGTGATTTGAGATAAATGGTAAACCTCATTAATTCTGATCAAATCTATCAAAGTTCCCTTCTCCAATGAAGTATCTCTGCATTATTCTTGACCTGGACCCACCAGATCAGTAAAATTGTTAAAACCCTCCATGGCAGATTTTTGTTAAAATCATTTTTTTTTTTTTAGCAATCCTCTTTCACTCTATCTTACAATGGACTTACTTATTTCATACATTCATAGTGTAATTTCGTTAGTTTTATTGCAGGTTCAATGGTACAAGATGCTCAAGCATTTCATGAAATTACAAATGTGGCAAGGCAATTTACTTAAACATGCACAATGTTTAAACTTAACGTTAACTTAATTCTTTGCCCAAAATCTATTCGAAATTCATACTTTGACAAGACGATGTCAGATCACAGTTTTTGTAAAATGAAATGTAAACACCATTCTGATCTAATCAATTAAATCTTTAGATCTGCTCTTTGGCAGCCACCTGCTTCATGTTTCAGGCACTTATTTATTGTTTATTCATATAATTAAGTTTTGAAATATTGTGTGGTCTGAAAATCTACAGCTTGATCATCATCGACTGCCTATTCTCTCTGGTTTAGTCTATGATTAGTAGAGATCATAAAATACGAAAAAAACTATTGAGGATAAAAAGACTGAGGCATTCATTTATTAATTTAAGAGAGATGTACTGTAAATGATTAACTAAATCTTTTTATTTAAAAAAATATTAATAAACAACATTAATTACAAAAAAATTAACCAATTGTGTTCGGTATTTTATTATTAATATTTTAAACACACTTTGGTAGCCAGTGCAGCATTACAAATATATAATTGTATGTAATGTATTGATTTTTTTAAATGAAATAATGTGACAACTTTGTTATTTTAGGCTGTAACGAATATTTAATGAATCGCTCTAAATAATTTTTAAAATAAATTATTCTTTTTTAAGTTATATAATCCAGATTTTGTTTCAAATTTCAAGTATTTGATATTTTCACATGAAACAGATTTTTTTCCGTATAAGTTTTCACAAATGGTATTTTTTTTCTGTTCTGTTGTAGGTAGCTTTAAATACTGCACTTGATGAAAGAGTGCACAATGAGATGGTGATGTTCACTAAAACAATTTTGTTATGGGGAAATGAAACATAGACAATGGATGAAAGGAACGGTGATTGTTTTGAAAACCATGAAGACCTGTTTGCACCTCTAAGTGTGTCAGATTCTGAGCATGATTGCTTGAAGGACTTCCTGTTGGAGCCTCCAGAGGTGCAGCCGCCGGTTTTGCCTCCGCAACAGGTCCTACCTTTACCCACCCCATCTCTTCAGCAGGACTTGCATTGGAACAACGGCCAAGTGTTCCCTGCATGTAGTGTCGATATCGAACGATGTTTGTTACCAGTTAATAATAATTACACACCGGAGTTAGATCAAGTACCTGTTGCCAATGGCGATTGTTGGAGCCCGATTGCTTTCACCGCCAGTGCGAGTGAACGTACTGTCAGTTCGGACTGTGTCAGTTCAGAAACTATGTGTTCGCCGAGCGAAGGCACTAGCGACAGTCCGTCACCCTACAAGGCCTGCACCAGTGTCGAAGAACCTCAGAAAAAGAGGGGGAGGAAGCGGAAGGCCGGCTCTTCTCGAGGTCGGTTTTGCACGACTGTAACCACGTATCAGTCGCAAATATCCCCTGACCAAAATGGAATTAAAATTAGGATTAAAAAATCTTTGACTGAAGTTCCTCAGAAGGTTAAGAAGAAAAAAGTTAAAGTTGTTGTGGAAGATGATTATGTCGAACCCACCGAGCAGAGCCCTTGGGGCGACAAGATTCCTCATTTCATCCTTCACAACATTTTTAAAATGGTTACAAAAATTGAAGGCTGTGTCCCATTTCTTGTAAGGTAAGGATATACATTTTTTAAAAACACATAGTAAGTCATAAACAAATAAATTATAAATAAAATTTTTTATAGAGTATCGAGGGTATGTCGATTATGGAGGGAAGTTGCGATATCGCCGCGCTTGTGGCAGCATGTGGATCTTGCCAGTTTTTGGGTCAAAGACCGGGCCAAGAATGATCTCAAATTCCGTTGGTTGTGTGAAAACCGGCTTGCACTGGTCCACGACCTCAATATCGGTATGGTTTATCATCTTATTCTCAACTTTAGACAATGTTTATTTTTTTATAAAATTTTTTTAGGAGGATGGGAATTTGATGGAATACCAAGTATTCTAGACAAAATGGCATCTTCCTGTGGCGAGCTGAGAGGGATCAGCCTTGCCGGCTGGCAAGGCCTTAGCATCGACCACGTTAAATTTTTGATCGCCCATTGCCCTAAATTACAGAGGCTTGATTTATCGGCGATCAATGTAAGTTAATTTATATATTTATTAAACTTATTTTTTAATGTTAATATGTGTATTCATTAGCTTGAAATGGGAAACCCTAAAAGCGCAGTTTCTATGCTTTCTTTGGTTAACCTGGCTCAAGAAATGAGCGGACGGCTGACTCAGTTAATTTTGTCAGACAATAAACTGTCTGGAATTCCACAAATAATTTCTGCTCTTTCTGTAAGTATTCCTTTAAAAACTAGATTTAAAAAAAATTAAAATACATTTACGTTATTATTTTAGACAAATTGCCCGAATCTCCAAGTTCTGGACTTATCTAATGTAAGGACTGTATCACACACAACTGTGCAACTGCATATTGAAAAGCTGCAACAGGGTTGCCCCAAGTTGAGAGTGCTGAGGATAACCAACAGCCAAGTTATCCTTTCTTCAGTCTCTCTCAAAGAACAAGTAATTTTTTCATTCCCCGATTCAAGATTCATAAATTAACCGGTTTATCAATTTCAGAGTCTCTCAGAAGGATTTCCTCTCCTCGAAGAACTTAGTGTGGCCGGAGTCGTTGAAAATATGTCGACTAAACCCGTCATCGATGATGACGGACTACTCAGAATACTCAAGTCTTCTCACAAATTGAGACTCTTGGATGTTAGGGGGTGCACAAGGGTTTCAGATTCCTCAATCGTCAGAGTTCCTGCATGGGATCTTGAACATCTATTCCTATCAGGTAATTAAAGAGATAAAATCCGCTCAATTGAGGAAATGATTAATTTTGATACTATTATAGGTTGTAATGTGACAAGAGTCAACGATTCTGGCCTGGAGCTGATATGTCAAAAATGGGCGCATAGCCTTGTAGAGGTCGACCTCGGCTGGTCAACAGCCACAGAACCTCTTGATGCAGCAGTTTCTGCACTTGCAGAACACGCTGAAAAATCTCCATTAAGGTAGATTACAAAGTTCCACACACATTACACATAATAATACTTTTTTATATATTATTATTATTGTTTTTTAATAATTTGTAAAATTTAAATTTATCTCAAGGGTTCTCAATCTTTGCGGCTCATCGGTGACGGTGGAGCCGGTGAGAGCGGTGCTGACGCGCTGCCCCCTTCTGACATCTCTCAACCTCACCTCGTGCCGGGCAATGCCTCGAGGGATCAAACGCCTCTACGAAGGACCTGCTCTGAATCAGCTGAAGGAAACCATGCTAAAAGAACATTTATCTTCGGAATAAGTATTTTACTTGTTTTAGTTTTTAGAATTTGAAAGGAAAAACACAAAAAAAGGTGAGAAAAGATGAAAGACGCATACAACATGCAAGACTGCAAGTGTTGTGCAAGAAAAAACTGTGCTGTGTTATCTTGTCATTAACACAATTCTAGTGACTTCTGAGAGACGTTTTTATCAAATTTACATTTTGACATAGACAATTTTTATTTATTTTTGTTTTTATTTTACATCACTGAAGGCAGGTCAATTTTTTAAGTATGTAGAGAAAAAAATTGATATGTTAAGCGAATTCATTTTCCTTTAAACAAAAAATAATATATTTATTTTTTTAGTTAAAATTTGATTTTCTTGTTGTTGTTTTTGTACAAATTGTGTGTATTTATCTAACAAAATGAATTTTAGTTAAATATATTTATATATATTATGAAATTGAAAAAGAAAAAAATTGTACAGTTTTATTGTTTGCTCATATTAATTATTAGTTAATTACTGAATAATGTATACTGATGATAAAAATAGGAAGAAATATTTTGTTGAATTTTTAATAAATTACATTAAAATTATATTAAANAAAAAAAAAAAAAAAAAAAAAAAAAAACAATATACCAAAAAATACTCAGAAATATCAACACCAAAAAAACTAAATTTTAAAAAAAAATTATGTAAGAAAGAGGTAGAGACAATTTTTCCATCACATTTTCTTATAAATAAAGACTGCAAAAAATTTTAATTTTTGAGATTTAGGGCCCAAAAAAGTATTTTTTTTAATTGTGTCCAAGATCCGGACAGACATTAGGTGCAATAATAATAAACACATTTGAAGTCAATAAAGAAGAAAGAAAATATTCGATAATACAAATTATTTAAACAATTTAGCTTTTGTGGGGGATTAAATTATTTTTAATAATTAATATTTTGCCCTTGAATTGCAAAGTTGCTATATATATTTTATTTATTTATTTATTTTTTAAAGCGATTTGTATTGTTTAAACAGTTTAGTTATCACCCTTCCTCAATAAGTTGAAATAATTCTTTCTACATTTTCATAAATTCAATTCAAGATTTTTTTTTTTTTTAATTTGATGCTTACAAACTTTATTTTTCTGAGTCAAACCTCATAATCGGATGACGGTAAACATTCCAGTCTTCATTTTCTTCTGAAACCCCTAGAATTTTATAAACAAAAGAATATTTCGGTTTTAATTAAAAAAATCATGAATTTGACATAATAGTTGAATTTATTATATGCAATCAGTACAACATATAGTCGTGGAGAAATATGAAACAAAAAGAAAAGTAAAATTGTTATTTAAAATTAAAAAAAGAAGAAGAATATATAGTAAATATTTATATATATTTACTTTTTTTTAATCTAGTTTGTACAGGTATCGCAAATTTACTATTCAGTGTTTGTACAGAATCTCATTATAACATTTGCAGAAATTTTATTAACTTTTAGACAAATCATGAGCATTAATATATTGTATTTGTGCTTTATATTGTAAAATCTTTTTGTAAATATTATAAATATATATATAAATAGATCCGGCTTGGGGGGGGGGGTACAGAAAGAGAGAAGAAGAAAACTATATGTTTGTGGAAGATTAGAGAAAGAGATTTTTTTTTTCATGGATTTTTTACAATAATTTATTTTTAATTATTTATGAAATGTAAGACAATTGAATTTTTATTTTGTGGGGGGGAAACTTTTTTTTTAGTTACCTTTGCTTTGTTTTTTAAAATCACTGATTGTAAATTATTTTATAATAAAAAAAAAATGGATTTCCTTGTTCTGTTAAATATCACGAAATAGTTTTTATTTAATAAAATAATTGTTTAAAATAAAAAGATGGGTTTAAACTTCTTTCAAGGATGGTGAACACTTAATTCTTTAAAAATAATACATTATTTGTTTACGACTTTTTAAAAAATTATTATTTTTTAAAAATTAAATAAGTTGCTCTTTCTCTTTGTTTTCCAATCACTTTTGTAACTAGTACAAACTATACAAAAATATATATATTATATTTGAATTTTTTTATTTTAGTTCAAACATTTTAAGTGTTCTCGATTTGTTATAAATTTCATCAGTAACATTGTTGATATTTTCAATTTGTGTAGAATGTATCATGCGTTTTTACTATTCTAATTAATTGTTAAAAGAAAAGTGAGATATTTAAACAAAATAAATTAATAAAATTGAAAAAAAAGTGTGTTAAGATTTTTTTTTCTTTAAAGTGACGCAGACTGTTGATTGTTGTATTAACTATATATGTATATATATTTGACTAATATGATCGTGGAAGCCGTCAAAGATCCACAAATCAAAAAAAAAAAACTTTTAAAAAGTGTTTTATTAGAAGCAGTGGCCATTATATAACATTATCCCATTTCCTCTATAAAAGAAAAAAAAAACAGGTTTGTTAAAAAAAAATTTTGTATATTCAATGTTAACATAAAATGTTAAATGATCATTTATAATTTTTTTCTTTTTTTATTGTGCCATCATATAATTATAATAAAAATCACAATCTATGTCCTAAATTAAGAAATAGGATGTTGCTTAACTAGTAGATTTTTACTTGTGTTGAAGAAAGGGTGTCCAAATGAAATTTCTAAAAATAAAATTTAAAATTTTTTGCATAATAAATTTACAACGTACAACTACGAGAGGTAAATGAATTTGATTTTTTAAATTCATTATAGTACTTTAGGCTTATGTTAAAAAGTCCTTGCACAGTAGATTTGTATTTAAACAAAACACAGACACACATGTGTGTATGTGTGTATATATATATATGTATGTATGTATGTACAAATTGCATATATATTATATATACATGTATATATTATACCATATAACCCTTAACGCATATACTTGTGTATATGTATGAAAGAATATATTAAAAAACATAAAATAAATGGTATTGTTATTATTATTATTATTATTAATTTTTAAGGGCGTTTTAACGGCTAAGGTCATTTCACGCCCTAACATCCAAACCTTCTATCTTAGGTTAGCTATATCTCTTCTGAGTGCTATAAAGCTCTGACTCCAAACATTCACTCGTAATCTTATTTATCCTATTGCCATCCAAGCTTTAATTTTTCTTTTTAAAATTCTTAATTCGGAAGGCCAAATGCATACAAAATTCCCATTTNCTTGCCCAACCCTGAAACCAGGTTTCTAGAGAGATTCAGGCCCCACACTTCCCAACACTTCCCAATAGGGAATGCGAGCTACAAACTAGCACCCAACAGACTTGTCTAATCGTCCAAAAAAATTATCCAGTTGAACTCACCTCACCAAAAAACACTTCAAAAAACGCTGGGCTGACAAAGGGACGTCCTAGCTTCCACAACACACCACTGTCATACACTTATTAAACCAATATACCTCAAAACTTCGGTTTTTTCTCGGAGCGGAAATTCTTGTTTGTTACACGTTTTATAGTCAGGTGATCAAAATGGTATTGTTATTTTTAAAACCGCACTTTTCAAGATTTGGCCAACCTTTTATTTCACCCTTTTCCTTTATGTTTATCCTTATCAAATTCGAAATGTTAAATTTATTATTTATTCAAGTAATTTTTGTTTATTTTTTGGGTTGATACTCCACTACAGAAATACACCACATTTTCATTCAAAATTGATACTGATTGAAAAGATCGGGTACATTAATCAGCATATTATTTGAGTCGATGTAATGTTAATAAATTCTAGCGTAACAATAACTAAAATTAAATCATCAGGTAACGCCCTTAAAAATTAATAATAATAATAATAATAAATCATCAGGTTAATCATCTGTAATGATTTCTCTGTGTTTGTTTCTAAAGTGCTTCTGCTGGTAATGTTTTCAAAATTTATCCTCTTGCAGTAACAAGCATATTTAAAACATATAATAAAAAATTAAATCATAAATATCAGTTAAAGGATGTTTGAAAAGAATTAAAAGATTGAGAAGTAGGGTGTACAGATTTTAAAAACTTTTGCCTGATGCTGAGTTTTTTTGACAAATGGTTAAACAGTGTTGGGCTTCAGTTAGATTTATGTATTTTTAATTTAATGACTGTAACAACCATAATTACACAACATTAATAATGATTACGTTTTGGTGAAAAATATAGCAAGTACTAATAGAATTCAAGGAAAAATTTGAAAATTGGGATGCAAATTGTAAAGATTTTATTGTGCTGTTGCTTCACACTATTTCATCCCTATTCCACATAGTTTCTATTGTGAACATAAACTTTTTCATGATACAATTTACAACAATTAAATCATAAATAATCATTTTATTAGGTAAGGAAAGAATTATAGGAAATATTGTAAAATTTATAATACCAAGTTTTGACATACAAACACTTGATTCTTTTTAGGCTGTAATGAAAATATTTACAATTAAAAAAGTAGGTAAAATAATTCCTACTACTTGGGTGACATGAACAAGGGTTCAAACCAGTTTTATACTTTACAATACTTTTTCTATATTATTTGAAATTAAAAATCCATAGGCTTTGTCGGCATTCAAACCTAGGACTGCTGATGTGTCAGTTGGACGACCTAACCACTCAATCCCTGCAGACTCATATTAATCATCTAATAAATTGTAACATTTTGGGTACAAAACTAAAAAACAGAAAGTTGAATAACTCAAATAATGTGAAATTTACAATCCCCCCCAATTAAATCACCAAAATCATGCATATTTGATTATAATCTGTATGAGGTATAAAAGGTATTGAAAAATCGGTACTAGCAAGTAGTAACAGATGGAGCCTACTGCAGCTTGACTCCGTCATCCATTTTCTGCAGAATTTACATTCTTTTATAAACCCTATTTTTTAAAAATAATAATAAATTTCTTCTCCACCCAGATGTTAAAAATATTATCAAACGAAAGTGGGCGACAAGATAGAATGTCTGTAGAGATTGTATGAAAGAAATTAGGTTTTTTTTTAAATGATATTTTATTTTAAGAAACAAGTACAATTGTATGCACTGTGACCCCAGGACAATACCTTTTTTCACCACGCAATTTATTGGCAACTTTGTTGTCATTGGTTGTCATATATATATACTGCTGGGGAAAAATTAAAAAAAAAACCCTACGACTAATATTTATTGTGATACGTGTCTAGTCGATGTACAATATAATGTATGGGTCCCTAGTGTATTTAATTAATTAAATAAATAATAAATATAGGTACATATAAAATAAATATAAATACGTACATAATACATATGCACACTTCACATACATATATACACATACACACACATATAACTACCTATTTTTTATAACAAAACTTACAATAAATAAGTAGTAATAAATATACACATAAATACACGAATAAATAAATTATATATAATCAAATAAAATTAATTAATTGCAATAAATAAGTTAATTAAATAACTAAGTTAGGCGTTAATAAATTTAAGCCTCGCCTTGAGGTCCCATAGGGTTTTGTGTTTGGCTCTGGGTGCACGTTTTTGTCTGATATCTCGAATTAATCTTATAGCGTTACCAGGACATCTATCAAAAAATCTTTGGCACTTTGTTTCTATGAACTCGCGCAGAAATTGCACTCCGGAGTTTATGTGGAGTTCATCTATCTTTGTTGCTAATGGGCTGTTAGTGCATAACCTTAGGAACTTATTTTGGGATCTTTGCAGCTTTTTATAATTAGTGTTACAAGTTAAGCCCCAAGCAGAGCATGCATACGTCAACACTGGCCTTACTATGGTTTTGTAGATGAGTAACTTGTTTTGCACGCTCAACTGGGACTCTCGACTCAAGAGTGGAAAAAGTATTTTTACATGTGTTTTCCCTTTTTGTATTAGTTCATTGATATGAGCTGTAAACTTAATTTAGCATCTAGCCGAACGCCGAGGTACCTTATTGAGGGAGACCAGTTAATTTCTTCACCATTAAGGCAAACTTTAAGGACTACAATTGGACGTCTTCTCGTGAAAAGTATGGCTTCAGACTTACTCCTGTTCACACTTATTTTCCACCTCGTAAAGTACCCGATAGTCCTCTCCACTTCCCTGCTCAATCGGTTCACTATGGCACTCACCCTCCATGTGAAATTAAGTTTACATAAATGGCTAACTGAGGATCTTGAGAGAAAAGAACGTATGATTCTCTCTAGATTGCGAATAGGCCAATCAAATTAATCCATAATAATTAATAATGCCTTTTAATAGGCAACAACCTTCTAACTCATATTCAATATATCCAAAGTGGAGAACATGTCATTCTGACTGTAAAAAATATTTTGGTCGACTGTCACACTTTGCAACCCTCTGGGCAGTGGCTCAACCTTTCTAAAGATTTAAAGGAGTTACTAGGACCCCAGTGTTTGTTTCGAAGAGCATTTTTCAGCTTTCGTAAATTTATTGGAATTTATAATCAGATTTAGGCCTTTTCCCGAATTCTTATACCTTTGAATGTTTTACAGTGTTCGAATGAGAGTTTTTCAGGAACTTTTGAAGCTGCTGGAGCGGAAAAATTAAATAAAAGAAAAATACAAATTGAGGTGTAATAAACTACTTTAAAATCACAATTTAAATAAGGAAAAATAGCTCCCCCCCCCTAAAAAAAGGATAAAAAAGAATTATTATTGTAGTTTTTGTTTCATCATTGTTGTTAAGTAGCATTAGTGTATTTATAGTATTTGAATGGAAGAATAAAATTAGCCAACGAGTATATTCATGTTGAGATTTTTTGCTAGTCTGACTCCATTATTATTATTGGCCATCCAAGCATATGGGAAATGTTTAAATTATGATTATAAAAAAATAAAAAATAAAAAAATTCGAAATTCTAATTAAAGAACAGGAATAAATATTATAATTTAAAATGGGTCTATTTCATTCATGTGTCCTTCCAAATTAGGTATTTTAAAAGGAATAATTAAACCTTAGCGGGTGTCGGTGGTCGCAACGATTTAGGCGTTGACACGGTGCTCATCAATGTAAGGTGAAGGTCCCGGGTTCGAATCCAGCGACCCTGCATTCGAATCTGACATACTTACAAATGGGCTTTTTTTCAAAAACACCGGCACCCCGAGGGTTGATAAAACCTCTGCTTTTGTGAACCCTCGTAAAAAAAATTAAACCTTTGGATGGCAATAGGATAGATTTGATTATGAGTTAATGTTTGGAGCAGAGCTTTATACCACTCAGAAGTGATAGGTCACTTAAGATAGAAGTTTTAAATATATCTGTTAGGGCGTGAAATGACCTTAGCCGTTAAAATGCCCTTAAAAATGAATAATAATAATAAAAAGTTAATTGTCATAAGGGAAGATAAAAATAGCAAAAGGAATAGATAGACAGACAAAGAAAAAGTGGAAGAAAAGGAGTTATGCCTGTTGTGGTATAGTACAAGACGTTTTTAAAATTTAATTTGAACTTATTCGAAATTTATTTGTAACAAATTTCAAATTATTATCCAAAGGTTGAAAAATCCCAAATTCTCCGTGTTTGAAATATTTTATTTAATTTTGTCTATTAAATGGATGTTTAGGGCTTATGGCCCATCACCAGGACTGTGTTATAGATACATATATATTTCCATCCCATTTTGAGGAGGTCATCAAAATGGTTTTAAAACCTCTGCTGCTATCCTCATGAGCCTCCACTTATTAGATGGTGATTACTGGTTTTTTACCAATTTGTCAAGCAGGAGAGGCCGGAAAACAGTACGTACACAACTCTTGTCAAACGCATTGGTTGGGGCAGTTTAGTCCAGGTTCTGATGATGGGCCGTAAGCCCGAAACGTCCGTGTAATAGACAAAATTAAATAAAATATTTCAACCACAGAGAACTTGGGATTTTTCAACCTTTGGATAATAATTGCTACAAACCGTGGATTTTAAGAAAAAGACAAATTTTAAATAAAATAAATACATACGTTGAGGTGTATTTGTTTGTTGTATTATTATCTGCTGTTTCAGAAGATTTTGGACAATGATTGACAATATGTCAAGAGAGGACAACAGCAGCTAATGAATTAATTTTAAAAAAAATTGGCCCACTTTTCAAAAAATTCGATTTTTTTTCGAAATCACATGAAATTTAATGGCAACAAATTTTAAATTAAATTAACTTGTTAACGTTTTGTGAGTCTGTGGTTCAAGACTTCTTGTTTTTACAGTTTTAAATGTTGGGAATTTACAAATATACATTTGTAATTTTTTTTCTTTATTGAAAATTTCAAATTAGAGTAACGATTAGAAGAACGGATAGAAAGGGATTTTCGGTCCCCCCCCCCGACACGCGAATCCCCGTTAATCCAACTCGGCCCACGGACCCCGCCGGCTCAGGCCTCAGTCATCGCTGGTCGTTCCGACGCCGAACTCTGTCCTTCTTCCTTTTCGTCCTTTTTTTGTTGTTGTTTTGTTTTTGAATCATCGCCGTTGACGTTTGTATGAGTGTATTTTCAGTTAATCTCTTATTTTTTTCCGGATTTTCCTACGTTTTCCATTACGTTCACTGGCGTTCAAGGAGAACAGTATGTAAGTACGACTTTGAAAAAAAATCTTATTTTTACTTTATTATTGTATTATTATTAAACGTTGACATTTTATTTAATAAATATACAGTAATGTTTAAAGGCAATATATTTTTTTTTTTACAAAATAATACGGTTAGTTTTTGACCATGGGCCAATATTGTCTACGCCGGATCTGAAGACACGTGAAAAAATTTTGTTTTTAGGTTTGAATTTTTTCGTCCAAGTTCTGTGATTTTAATGCAATTTTTCGAAAACTGTAAAAAGACGAGGAAGTCATTCTTTTTAAATTTTTTTAGAAAAATCCTGAAGTTTGAACAGCCTGCAAGGTGTACTGCAAAGGTATGGAGTTTGGAAGGGTTTCTTTTCACTTTGATTTTTTTTTGTACTATAAGGTGAAAATGAAAATCAGCGCACAAATCAATTTCAGCCAAGTATAAAGTCGTAAATTTGACAAAATCTAAACTAATAAAACTAAAAAGACAAGCAAGAACATATGGACCAAGAGAATAAAAATAAAAATTTACATAAAATCTATCTTAACACATATAATCTATTGACAATTTGGAACATATATAACGAGAAATAAATAGATTTTTTTCTCAATAAAACTAATTTTAGGCAAAGAAAAAGAAAACAGTAAATCTGTACAAAAATCAATACTAGAAAAAAAGCGAAACTAAACAACAAAGGCGTCGTTAGTTTAATATTTTTTTAAAAATGAATTATCTTTGCTATTTCATCGTTCAGGCAAATCTAAAGTAAATTTACATTAATTTAATAAACTTGACCTAAAACAAGAAAGAGAAGCGAGTACATGTGGACTAAGAAATAAAAATTTACATAAAATGTCAGATCAATCCAAACAGATATAATTTATTGCCAATTTCCAACATATACAACAAGAAATATTGATAAATAGTTTTTTTTTTAGAATAAAACGAGTTTTAGGCAAAAAAAATCTGGCGAAAAATTCATTTAGAAAAAAGCAAAAGGTCAACTACAAAAGCATCTTTAGTTTAACATCTTTTTTAAATGAATTACCGTAGCTATTTTATCATTCAGGCAAATCTAAAGTAAATTTACATTAATTTAATAAATTTGATCTAAAACAAAAAAGAAAAGTGAGAACTTGCGGATCAAGAGATCAAAAATAAAAATTTATATAAAATGTCAGATCTAGGTTAACAGACATAATCTATTGACGATTTTGGACATCGTTGGATTTTGGATCAATGCAGAAATAATAGATAAATCATAAAAACGCATTGTATACAAAAAACAGTAAATCTACTGACAATTTTGAACATAAAAAACGATAAATCAATTTTTTTACAATAAAACGAACTTTAGCCAAAAAACTGAAACTGTACAAAAATCCATTTAGAAAAAAAGCAAAAGTTCAACTGCAAAAGCATGTTTAGTTTAACATTTTTAAAAAATTAACTAGCTATTTTATTTTTCAGGCCAATCTAAAGTAAATTTGCATTAATTTAATAAATTTGACTTCAAACAAGTAAGAGAAACGAGGACTTGCGGACCAAGAGATTCAAAATAAATTTTTTAATAAAATGTCAGATCTATCATAAAAGGTATAAACTATTGACGATTTTGGACATCGCTGGATTTTGGACCAATGTAGAAATAAAGATCAGTAGATTTTTTTACAATCAAACTAGAATTGTAGGTAAAAATCTATACAAAAATTCATTTAGAAAAAAACGAAAAATTCGAAAGCATTTTTTCTTTAACTTTCTTTTTTTATCCTTCACGCAGATATAATTAAATTAAATTAATAAATTAATGTTATCGAATGAAACGAGATTGAGATAGAGAGAAGCGAGAATATGCGGAAATAAAGATAAATAAGAGATAAAAAAAATAAAATTGCTGCTACATCTAACCAAACAGATTCGTAATATTTTCAAAATGTCGAGCATAAAGAAAGACAGAAAAAATAAATGTAATATAATTTTTTTTTGTGCAATAAAACCAAAATATTAAATCAAATTTAAGTCAAACAAAAAAACCAATTCACAAATTTATTTCGGAAGTGCAAATATATAACTTTAAACTCCAGTTTTGCTTTCAAACTAAGAAACAATAAAGTACTACGGATTTTTTAAAATAAAAAATTTAATAAAATTCAACTTGTTAATAAAGAAGCAGTAAATAAATAGGCAAAGTTGGCTGAAAAAGGGAGACGTTAAATATTTTAATGTGTCAAAGCCCCTCCGGTTCATTTCTAATGCTTATTTTTCTTCTTAATAAAATCAAATTAAAAATATATTGTTTTTTAACTTCAGTAATTATTTTTTGAGTAAATATTTGGAAAAAAGTCTACGAATTAAGGTGTACACGCGATGAAAGCGAAAGTCGTGCGGGCTGGGAATATTGTTCTCAGGCTATTATCACCCAGAACAACAAACAATATGTAAACAAGATTATAAAAACACGCTGCCCTGTAAAAAAACTGACTACAAATAAAATTTATGAAAATATTTTATAATTCTGATGGGATAGGGCCATTTTTGGTTGTTTCCGCTGATCCATGGGACGATGAGAGGGTTCAACGCCGAGCTTTGTTGTAAAAGCTTAATTAAGTAATTATAAAATGATTAGCTGTAAAGGAATCGAATAGTGCTAAAACCTGCTGGGCTTTTTAAATTTTCAGATATGCAGGGGGTATATCATCCTGAAATCGCTGGAAAATTTCATTATCTTCTGCCTCTTTCCCGACCATCCAGACTTCAAAATTGAGAACAGGAACGCCAAACCCTGTGATTTTTTTATGTACTGTTTGGATTGCGGGTCTTTGGCTTGATATCTTGCTGATTGATAAATGGGTAGGAAAAGATTAACCGTTAATCTTCTAATTTCCGATTTTAAATTTTTTCAGAAAAAACCTTAAAGTTTGAAAAGCCTTGCATGCAAAGGTGTGGAATTTGGAAGGGTTTCTTTTCAATGTGATTTTTTTTTGTAGAACAAAAACTAGAGTAGTAAGCCAAATTGAAAATCAGCGCAACATTCAATTTCAGCCGAATCTAAAGTCGTAAATTTGACAAAAACTAACTAATAAAACGAAAAAGACAAGCAAGAACATGTGGACCAAGAGATCAAAATTTAAATTTACGTAAAATGTCAGACCTACCCTAACAGATATTGACTAGAAATAATAGATAAATAAATTTTTTTACAATAAAACGAATTTTAGGCACAAAACAACCCAGTAAATCTGTACAAAAATCTGTTTAGAAAAAAGCAAAACTTCAACTAAAAAGCATTTTTTTTTTTATATTTAACTTTCCTTTAAGGAAAGCTAATTTATGGCCTTATATTAATCATATTAGCCAATGATTTAAAAAGCATCTTTAGTTTACCATTTTTTAAAATGAATTACCGTAGCTATTTTATCGTTTAGACAAATCTAAAGTAAATTTATTAATAATTAATTTATTTATTAATAAATTTGACCTACAACAAGAAAGAGAAGCGAGAACCTGCGGACTAAGAGATCAAAATTAAAATTTTCGTAAAATGTCAGACCTACCCAAACAGATATTGACAATTTTGAACATATACGACTAGAAATAATAGATAAATAGATTTTTTTAGAATAAAACGAATTTTAGACAAAAAACATCTTTAGTTTAACATTTTTTTAAATGAATTGCCGTAGCCATTTCATCGTTCAGATAAATTTAAAGTCAATTTACATTAATTTAATAAATTTGACCTAAAACAAGAAAGAGAAGCGAGAACCTGCGGACCAAGAGATCCAAATTAAAATTTTCGTAAAATGTCAGATTTACCCTAACCGATGACAATGTTGAACGTATGCAACTAGAAATAATATATGAGTAGATTTTATTTACAATAAAAGGAATTTTAGACTAAAAACAGTAAATCTGTACAAAAATCCATTTAGAAAAAAAGCAAAACTTCAATTACAAAAACATTTTTAGTTTAACTTTTTTTTAAATGAATTACCGTAACTATTTTATCGTTCAGGCTAATCTAAAGTAAATTTGCATTAATTTAATAAATTTGACCTAAAAGAAGAGAGAGAAGCGAGCGTATTGACATTTTTGAACATATACAACGAGATAGATTATACATTAATAGATAAATTGATTTTTTTGACAATAAAACGAATTTTAGAAAGAAAAAAACAGTAAATCTGTACAAAAATCTATTTAGAAAAAAGCAAAACTTCAATTACAAAAACATTTTTAGTTTAACTTTTTTTAAATGAATTACCGTAACTATTTTATCGTTCAGGCTAATCTAAAGTAAATTTGCATTAATTTAATAAATTTGACCTAAAACAAGAGAGAGAAGCGAGAATCTGCGGACCAAGAGAACAAAAATAAAAATTTACAAATCTATTGTAACATCTATTGACTATTTTGAACTTATATAAGGAGAAATAAATAGGTAAATAGATTTTTTTTCTATCTTTGGCTTGATATCTTGCTAGTAGTCGGAAAATGGACAGAAAAAAATCAACCGTTAACCTCTTTATTTCTGATTGAAGATGCATGGTAAAAATAGAAGAGGAATCCGAGAAAATCAACCGTAGGAAATTTTCCTATGTGTTGTAAATAATTGCATATTTTATTTCCCGGGGGAAATCGTCGAACTGTTGGAAGGCGGAACTAATTGCCTTGCTGTTGATTACAACCCTAGTTCGTTTGTCCGCGGACAGTTTTTATTTTTATTTCATTAGACAAAGACTTAAGCAATTCTAAGTGGACAATTCTGTTTATATTTCCACTGGAGAATATGTGAAAATAGGCAATCCTTTTATGGCTTTGAAAAAGCTCACATAACTTCTGACTTTGCCATATATTTGATATTTATTCGAAAAAATAAATATAAAAAAAGTTGAATAAACTCAAGTTAGCTATAAATAAATAGAGTTAGGATTAGAAATTTTAAGGTCAAGGATGGCAGCGGCCAAATAGGTCTATATTTAGTGCAATCTTCTCTTATTCCGGACAA